GTGTGCCTCATAGCTCTCAGGACAAGTTGGGCAGCATGCCTAGCCAGGGCAGGCTGTGAGTGTCAGAAGGGTAGAGCCAGTACCTAAAGAGCTTGGGTCTGGAGAAGGTCAAGCCAGGGCAGGGAGCTCGGCGTGGATACAGGTCACCTAGACAAAGGCAAATCTGGAGTGTTCTGACAAGTCAGTGGGTGGTCAGATTGGCTTATGAGTTACCTGAAAGTCTTTCAAGAGAAATGTGTTTTATAGAGGATGCTCCACAGATTCCCATGTTAATTTTCTTAATTATAGTGATGGGAAACCTTCTTTCCTCCCCCTTGGTGGTCTAAGTGTATGGAGTCCTGGTAAACACAAGTACTGCAGTCATCAAGTTCTTAAAATAGTCTAAGGAACTAAGGCAAGAAAGAATGCCTGGGCAGGTAAGAGAAGTTCAAGGGTATTTTGTAAAATAAACTAAAAATTGAATTGACCTCTTCTAACTAGGAAAATTGACAAGATGTTGTTAAGGAATTGAAGAATGTTTGATGAATGGTAGGTGTTAGAGAATTCTAAATGTGATTGCCTAAATGTGAGTATCAAAAATACTGAATTTTAGATGAAAAACAGTGATAAGAGAACTCATCCGGATGTCAGGAGTCTGGATAGGTACTGGGTTTTCTGATTGTTTTGAGTTCAAACGATGGCGCTTCTGGGCTGGATCTGCTCAACGCCAAGGAGGAGGTAGGAGAATCAACCCAGGGAGGGTTGGAAGGCGTCCTCTGGCAGGGGTTCTGAGCTGGGGGCCATTATTCTCCATCCCCAAACACAAAAACAGGACCGGCCAGATAGCTCAGCGGACTAAAGCGCCTGCTTAGGCAGAGTGCAGGGACCTGGTTTGATCCCCTGTGTGCTGTGCTGGCCCCATCCCCAGGGTGCACTGAGACGGTGATTGAGACTGGGCATGGAGGCATGCGCATGTAATCCCAGTGCTTGGGAGGCTGAAAACAGGAGGATCACTAAGAAACCAGTCTGTGCAGTGAGACCCTGTAGACCCCGTACTAAATATATTTAGAAAAAAAAACAAAATCCAACTCTGGCTACTCTCCCAGGCACAGCCACATGTCTCCAGAATCAGGCTCCTGAACACCTGAACACTTGCTGAAGGTCCCAATCAGAAGGGGCTTTCAGGGCCTCACTTCCTTGCTACAGTGCTTGAGACTTTGGCATGCTTCCTCTTTAGCATTTACACAGAGCCCTTCAAGGACCTGAGGGCCACATCCCCAGTGACGCCCCAGAGCTCACATCACGGACCTACCTCATCTCCGTGCATATTTGCCACGTATTTGAATTCTGGGATTCCAACTCTGTGCTCCCTGGGAAACTGACCGACAACAAGGACCCACAGGTCTCTACCTTCACAGGGAAGAAAGAGAGAAAAATAAGTTGTCTCATAAAATGGTAAATGAGCTCCGCAGGAGACGACCATGTTGCTCCTCCCACTGATTACTAGGTTACATCGAACTTATTTTTCCAAAATGTTTATATGTTTTGCTATGACATCCTAGACCTTCATACAAACAATCTTCCTAAGGTACACAATTATACAAAGGCATAGTTGATGGTTGATTGGAAGGGAGCCATAGCTTACACTGCACACAAA